ATTGAAAAACTATGAAAAGCTTTCACCATGTTAATGGATTATGATATATCATATTATCATATTAATCAACGAAGAAAAGGTAAAATTTCAATTCACTCAGGTGAGAACAAACACCTCCACACTATGGATAGAGGTATTAAGCAGTGGAACTTTACAGACAAATACTGTAAAAAACAAATTTTATCAATAAAGCATTAGAAATATTACACTTCAAATAGGTGAGAAAAACATCATTAGTGATTAAATTAAGTGTAAGATATTTGAGCTTGTTCCACGAAACAAACCAAAAGGACTTTTATTGATTTGAATATCACTTATAGGTCTATAATATATCACCATTTATTCTCATGCACACAGTAAAAATTTCATAGATATGCCACAAATACTTGACACACTAAGACAGGTCATCAGATTTATAAGTTCCAATTTTACAGCACAGAATTTAAACTATAGGGCCACATAAAATCATAAAGGGCAAAACAGAAATTTTATAAACATAGTTTCTTCATAGCAAAAAGTGTATTGATAATGATGGTTAAAATACCAAGATGTTTCTATAGTAGAGAATGCAAATTCCCCACTTTCATCATTTCTTACCTTCTCCTGGGTGTGTGTCTGTCTCTCTGTGCTCTCACCTTTCTTGCTTGCTCAGTTATGACATCAGCTATGACATCAGGGGCTTGTTCTGAATGGAATAGCACTGGAGTGACACTTCCTCTACTGACCCTTCCATCCCAAGACTGTGGAATGGCCCACACCAAGCTCTCCCCATGTGTCATGCTCTGTTGGCATCTGAGTTTGTGTGAAACATGACATCTGCTGTTGCCAGTTCTTGGATTACATGTGCAAAACATATCTTTATATCTGGTCCTGATCTAGATCCCTGATCTCCCAAAAAAGAATATGGTGAAGGTTTAAATAAAATGAGACAAGTAGTACAATTTTAGGGCTCCAGGAGGATCAAAACCCATTAGCCAAGCTTGACACTCTGAAGGCTAAGACAAAGACTTCTTTGAACTGTCCATTTTTATTAGTTCCAACAAAAAAGGTGGGGAAACTGAGCAAAATGTGGGAAATGAGCAGGACCTTGGGAGTCACTTCAAAGACTTCTCCAAGTAGAAAATTATGCCAATTTAGGAGAACTGTCTTACCTCCAGTATGACATTTGTGGTAGGAGTGCGACTACAGGAGTGAAATTCCTTCAGCTAGAGTCTCTATTTGCTTAATTGATGTTTGAGCCAAGTGTCCACAGCTGTGGCCTTACCTTGCCCTTTGAGGTATCTCTGACCTCACAGGCCACTACAGGCCTCTGCCAGGACCAGTGATTCATAGACATTCACTTATTATTAATCAGCTCCCATCACCAGGCAAGGTGTTGAGGGATAGGACAGACTCACCGATAAACACAGAAAGCCAAATAGTTAATTTAAATCCTGCTCAGAGCCACTTTGTAGTGATCTCCAACATGCATATACTGTACAACTTATCCTTTCTTGCTTTGGAAGTGTTTCCTGTAGTGTCTACTTGTTTATTATTCACTTTTAAACTGTATCCTTCCCCTCTGTTCTATCTATCTACTATGGCTGGCAGAAATGTGTGTGTGTGTGCATGTGTGTGCGTGTGTATGCATGTTACAAAGTACTATACTTTTTCAATTCATTGACTTTTATTATTTGTTTATATATATATATTAATGGTTTTAATATTGACAAAAGTAAGCAGATTTGTTGGCTGTATTTATTTGCTGATGCACAAAATATAGTAAAATATGTAACACAAGCTGAGTGAAGAAATCAGCATGTCTGCCCAAGTTTGTGTCTCACAGCCAGGCTATCACTTCTCAGTCTGTTAACTAATATCATGTGTAACACACAGGGCAGCTGTTCCTACTTTATTAGTGTTTTTAGGCAGCTATGATACACATTTTTCAAGACTGAATAATAATTGGTAGTGTGGGGGAAGCAAAGCTCCCAGTTCATCAAGAAATTCAGTGAGCCACACTCTCTTCTTGCTGTAGGGACACATTAAAGCTGGAGACTGATTACACATGTGGGGCTAAGACAAGACCAGCCTGAAAATAGAGAGCTCAAAACAAGCTACATAAGCAAGTTGGTCCAGCACAAAAAGGCAAGGGGTCCAGGCCTTCCAAGCTGCTAGGAAGCAGGGTTGGAATTGACATTCTTCTTTGGGAGTGTATGGAGGATATAATAAATGTGCTACAGTTGTTGAGTAGTTCCTTCCCTCCTATCAGAAGGATAAGGGCTCCACCTGATCCAAGCTTTGCCTTTTCCTTATTTTCTCATCCTCTTACTGTCCTGCCACCCAGGAACATCTAGAGCTGCAGCCAGTTGCTATATCTTTCTATCACTGTTTAGATCTCAGTGTCCTTGTCCCTAGTGCCACTTTATGTGTTTTCCAGGCATCACAGATTATGTATTCCCCTGCAAGTTTCCACTTCCATCTCCCTCCAGCCCATCTCTCAATTAAAAGATATTAATAGCTTGAAGTTTTGCAGAAGATTTCCTGAGATCATCTTAGGTCCCCATGCAGGGGCTGTCACTGAACTTATAGGTGAAAGGACAATTACTTCCCATCAGAGAGATGACCTCATAGTGTTCCAACCTTTTATCTCAGGCAGAGTGTCCTGTTTGCACATGTGTGCCAATTATGACCATGATAGTTACTGTTCCAGGAAAAATTTCCTTTGGTAAGTGGACTGTCTTTTTTATTATATATTTTAAAGAAAATAGAAAGTTTGTGCAGGAATCTCATACAAAAATTGTGAACATAGAGTCTTAGTTACTTTGTGCAATGCTAGGACAATATACCAAACATCCATGAATTAAAGGAGGAAAGGTATATTTTAGCTCATAGGCTGTAGAGATTTCAGCCCATAGTCAGCTGGTTCCAAGGCAGCACAGCATGTCAGAGGGACATGGCATAAGGGAAACAGTCTATGGCAAGCAGGCAGAAAGGTGAAGTGGCAAGTCTCTCTTGCTCTTATCCTATCCAGGCTACAATCCTTTGGGGTTACTCCTGAGAGCCAGGATTGGCTTTCCTATTACCCACACTCAGAACTATGCTAAACCAAATTTCATACTATACACCCTTATCCCCAGCATCACACACCCTAGATCCAGGCAGCTCTGAAAAACTGCAGCTAGGAGCACATGAGGCTGCTGGATGCAAACAAAAACACATAACACCAGAGCATACTGAGTAGTTCACCACCCTGACCCAGAAGTCTTGCGCTCCATCATCCTGCCTCAGCTCCTATGCATCTGGGCCTATGCCCATGCTCCTGTGCTGGAATACAAAGGACAATTTGAAATCTATTGTAGTAAACTTCCCTTTGGTTTCCTGTAACATTATGTTTCCAAAATAGTTTGTAATTTTGGAAAAACTATAATTTGTTTTTTCTCCTTGTAGCTTACAGAGAACAGTGCACCAGTAATTTTGTGTTTGTTGAAAGATTGTTGGGTCAGTGTAAAATGAAAACTGTTTGTAACAGATGTAATAGAAATTTCACCTTTTAAAATGGGAACAGAGATTTCAAGGTGTGAACATGCTCAGGACCTAATAACAGATGAATTCCTAGATGTGGCTCTAACATCTCACCAGATTAAAAATGTCTGTGATTGTGTCCAAATCTCTGCATTTGACACTAATCTGCCAGGATTTCCAAAGAGGTCAACCTAATCAGGCTTTAAGCAGTGAGAATTTGATCTGTTCCAGGCCAGATTTGTGAAAGCATTGTCTTGACACTAATCAACAAGGAAAATGTTTTCAATTTATTCCCTAAATTCATTTCCACATAAGAAAATTTTTTTGGCTTTTTCCTTTTTATCGGTACCAGGGGTCGAACTCACAACTGCCTTCTTACAAGGCAGGTACTTATGCCACTGAGCTAAATCCCCAGCCCCCACATAAGAAAATTTTGTAAAGAGTATGAGAAAGGTCATTATTTTTCCATGAGTATCCCACATTTGTGAATATGATAAAACAAAATCTTAGCTGAGCTGGGTTTCAGGTATTTTCATGTCTAAATTTGTCATTATAATCACTGTGGTACATTCCTCAGAAAATTTTAAGGATCTTTGTACACAGTAGCTCAAACACAGTGTTTCTTCCTCACGTTCCATAATGCTGCTGCTTGATGTACACTGCTATTATATATATTATTGAAGTGACTTAATATTTAGCATCCCTTTGTCTGAACACATTCTTATTTTATTTAGATTTTATTTTGTTCAAATTTTAATGCCTCTAAAATCATCCATTATAACTCAATACATTTTAATTGCAAATATATAAAGTATTGTTAAAAACAGAGACAGTCCTTTTTGATGATTTTTCATTTCAATTTTTTGAAAAATTTTAAGTTTTATCTTATTATAATTAGTATTATCCAAATAAATGTGACTCCTTATGTGATGCCAGCAAAGACAAAGTTACTTTATTTCATGTGCTAATAAAAATTTCCATGATAAGACTTTTGAAATATAAGCTATACTTAAGCATTTGGCAAGACATTGTTTCAAATTGAAAAAGTATATTGTTAAAAATAATTCTGCATTTGTGTGATAGTATTAAGAAAAATACATTTTAATTATTATTCATTCCTGAGAACTAGATTGATTTTTATGTATTTTTTCTGGTTATTTAACCCTCTGAAATGTCATCCATACCTTGCAGTCCTGCAGTGTTTCTGGAGAGTTAGCATACCCAGAACTTCCCCATTGCATCAACAGCTATTCCAAGCTCCAGTGTGGGCTTCTCAGTTTTTATTCACTCACTTTTGACTGAGGATGCACAAGTTCCAGTACATTTGCTGTAAATAATGCCACAAGAACTAACTGTGTCTTTACAATAGACATGTTCCTAACATGCATATTTCCATAATGGGCTTTGTGAGAAAAGGCATTCCCTGGATGTAATCAGGACCATAATTTACGTGCAGTTTCCTCTTACTCAAGATCCCATTTCAACATCTTGTATAAATGGATGGATTGGTTTTTGCCGATTTAAATTGGGCTATTGTCTTCCTCACTCAGACTAGTATTGGAATCCTTGGAAATTCTTTTCTGTTTTGCCTCTATAACTTTTCTCTGCTCACTGCACGAGGGTTGAGACTCATAGATGTGATTCTCATACAGCTATTCCTAGCTAACAACTTGGTACTGTTCTCTAAAGGGATTCCACAGACAATTGCAGCTTTTGGATTGAAAGATTTCCTGGAGGAGACTGGATGTAAAATTGTCTTCTACTTGCACAGAGTGGCTAGAGGCGTTACCCTCAGCACCACTTGCCTACTCAGTGGCTTCCAAGCCATGACAATTTGCCCCACTATTTCAGGATACATGGAGAGCAAAATTAAATCACTGAAGTGTCTTGCCTTCTGCTGTTTTCTCTGTTGGATCCTGAACCTCCTGATAAATATCCATAATATAATGAATGTAAGTGGACCAAACAACAGCAGGAACATGAGTATACACAACATGTATAGATACTGCTCTGCTCCAGTCGCTAAGGGTTTTACATTCACACTACTAGCAATGCTTTATGTCCTTACTGATTGGACCTTTTTGGGTCTCATGGCCTGGGCCAGTGGTTCCATGGTCCTTCTGTTGCACAGACACAGACAAAGAGTCCAGCACCTTCACAGCCAGAGTCTCTCCCCCAGAACTTCTCATGAGGCCAGAGCTGAGTGCACTGTGCTAATCCTGGTGAGTATGTTTGTCTCCTTTTACTTTCTGGCTGCTTCTTTATCATTGTGGAAAACCCAGGCCCTGAGCCCAAGCCCCCGGCTCATGAGCATCTCTGTGCTGCTGTCCTTGGGCTTCCCCACATTCAGCCCCTTTGTGTTTCTCTTCAGTGATACTCATATCTACCAATTCTGTTTTGTCATATGGGCGAGAAAAACAAATATTTCAACTTTTGTCTCTGGGGTTTGAGTTCTTTCAGACATTCCTTCCTTTTTTAAATAAGTTGTTTCAGAATTTGTATAGGGTGTTGCTATGAGTGCTAATTTGGAAGAACATTGGGATATGACAGTAATAAAAATGATGGCTATGACTTCTTGCTGCTTGTTGGATCTTCAAGATATAACCTATGAAAACACTTTTATAAATGTGTGGAAGCTCCTTAAAAATGAGCAAATGACTATGGTTCAATTCATCAGTTCTTTTATTTCTAAAGGAATTGAATGCAAGGAAACAGATGTTTGTACATAACTGTTGATAGCAGACTTCTATACATTGCCAAACACAAATGTCCTAGAATGTTTTAATGGCTAAAAATACATGACATGTACATACAACCAAAAACTTTTCAGCCTTAAAACATATGAGATTCTGACTGTGCTCAAATATCTAGATGCATGAATTTGAAGACCTTATATTAAGAGAAATAAGCCAGAACAAATATTGTATGAGTCTACTTACATAGGGTACAGATAATTATCAACCTCATCAAGTCAGCAAGCAGAATAATGAACAACCAAGGCTGAGTGTGACTAGGAATATTTTGCTTAATTTGTACAAAATTGTTTTTTTTTTTTTTGGATGTCAAATTCTGGAAATGGAGGTGGTGATGGTCATTCAATATGAATGTAATGTTGTCTAATTGTGCAATTAAAAAGGTAAATGTTATGTGTATTTCATTAAAAATACAAAATATAAATTTACTACTCATAAATTGGGTGTAATACCATATATGATAGGGGCTGATCTTTCCTCTCTTCACAGCTTTTTATGGAATTTTTAGTGAGAAACTCACTGCAATGGTTTATATCAAATGATTTAAATGTAAACAATTAATCAAATCCATGTGAAGAATATTTAATTGTAGAAAATAGATATGACTTTGTACCTGCAATTATGCCTCAAAATATGTATTTACTTTTCCATTTCTTAAATGCCAAAAGACAACTGCAGGAAAAAAAATTGAAATTCTGTTCACTCCTTAGGCTGTTTTCCCTGGAAAGAAGGAATGAGTGCCACTGAGACAGTGAAGTTTTACATTCTTCCCTTTCTAAATTTTGCATGAACTTTGTCTTCTGCTGCCTTTCTTTGAGTTTGACACTACCCAACAAAACTCATATAAATAGAACTTGCCTTCAGGAGGTAAAGCTGAGAATCTGAAGCCCATTTCTTTAATATTTGGGAATTGGGTTGAAGTTTCATATTTTTGCCTTATACATGGGAGACAACAATAGTCAAATGAACTCAGATTTCTCACAATGTAAGCAAAGTTTCAGTTCTTTTACTACTTATTTTTTGATACTTGGTATCAAACTCAGGATTTCATGCTTGCTGAGCAGGTGCTGTGACACTATGTCCCCAACTCTAACGTTTTACTTATTAAGAGGATATTGACACTTAGGATCCCTTATTCAAGTCTTCAGCAAACACCACTGCTGACTATATAACAGGATACAACATCCACTGCCGTGTACAGTGCAACTCTCAAATTTCCCAAGGGGAGGACCATGAAGGATGAAGCAATGGAGACAAGAGTCTGAATGCAGAAATTTGAGGTCAGGTGAAGCCTTCTTCCTGGTGGGAGGAAAAGAACCACCCATTGACTTCAGGGCATTTATTTCTACACCTGGAGGTTGATGTGAGTTGAAATCCCTCTACCTAATAACTTGTTTGCCAGGCTCACCTCAGGCATCTCTTGTTCTTGGAGCTGGGACAGCTGGTCCTGTGGTTTACCTCTGGCACTCCATGTCCTCAGAATTGGGCTTGCTTTAGCCCTACATGGGTGATGAATCTTCAGCTTCAGCTGCTCCCCCAAATCCACCCAACACAAATGAGTAGAGAACTGAATAAAATCAATTGAATGGGATCTCTGCAGCATGGGTGCAGCTTAGCACACAGCTGCCTCCCTGGATTCACCCAGGCAGATCTGTGCAGGTCCTTCTCAGCAGCTTACAAGGCTCTTATGGGTCTTTCCTCTGAAAGCTTCCTCTGCTGAGTGTTATGGCTCTGAATACAACTCTAAAAGTTGGCAGTACCTGCTCAGTGATCTCAACTCTGTCTCTGTGTCATTGGAAGGAGGTCCTGGGTGGAGAAGGACAGATTTTCAGGCTTGAGTGGCTAGCCAGATTCATCTAGGTAGAAAACCTGCAGCTGTGAGGCTGCAGTGGGGACAGCTTCAGAATAACAAGCTGTACAGATGTGAAGGGGTGAGGGGTAAGAAGGGAATTCACTGTGCCTTCCGTTTTACTAAGAAATATAATGTGTTTACAAATGTATTTGAGCCCATAATTTTACACTGAAAAGATTGATTTTCTTCAGAAGGTAAATTATCAGTGCCTTTTCGTTCTCTACACTGTACCTGTGTAATGTGCAAAAACCCTTTTTTAGATAATAAATAATAATTTCACATTTTATTGATAAAAATGTTAATTTACCTTAGGAAAATATACAGGCACTGGTGTGATTTTGAAACCTGTGTTCTTAAAGCATGAGATTTCTCTTTGTTAAAGAAGCGTGTAACCTGTGCACACAGATCATTGTACATGGACTAAATGTTCTAGAATATATATCAAAATTCTCTGAAAGCCCTGCTAAAACACACATTTTGGGGACTCAGTCCTAGAGTGCCTGATTCAGTTGTTGTGAAAATAGGAGTAAAAATTAATGTTTCTATTACATCCCCAGAAAATGCTGCTGGAGAATACTGAGGCCATGACCAAGTGTCTGGAGATGGACTAGCCTCCTAGGCAAGTACTGTACCACTAAGCTACACCCCTGAACTTAATGGTTCTTCTTTCACACTTCCCATTTCACTTCTGTGCAGGGAATGCAAACCCAGAGGGACAGAGCCAGCACCTTTGGTGGATGAATGTTTCATATGTATCTGTAGTAATGACTGAACATATGTATCTGTAGTAATGAACCCCACTATGTACTTAGTCAACATTGGTTGGAGTTGGGAATAAGCATGTTCCTTCACTTTCTGTTTTATATCCTGGATAGCTTCAATGTCCTGTTTATTTATTGCTCCAAACACAGATGTTTTTGTATATGCAGAATCATCCCATTTTGAAGAGAAGGCCTGCACAAGTACCATTGTAGTAATGTACTCACATGTACCATAGTTTTCCCAACTTTCTCTAAAGTGTTATCTCTTTTCAACCTTTGTTAATGTATTCCACGGCTATTTCTGCCACAGCCTTTAAATAATTTCTTAAGTGACACAATTAATGTTATTAACAACATTGTAGTAATCTGCAGTTCAAATCAACTTTTGATGTGATACCCTTAATGTCCTGCTGCTAATGTACCATTTCAAAGTAGGATTTGCTATTGTGTTGTGTTAGAAATAGGTATTAGATTCCTAAAAAAACCTGACTATCTTGGTGCCAGGATCATACTTGTAACCCAAGCTATTCATGACAAAGCAAGAGAGTGAGAAGTTTGGGCCCAGATTCATATGCTTAGTGAAACCTTATTTCCAAAACAAGGTAAAATACTCTGGAGGTGTAGCTCTGTAATGTAGAGCTTGCCTAGCATCCAGGCAAACCTCTGTCAAATGCACACTGCAATGCACACAAACAATAACTTAGTTTGTGCAGTAAAAATGTTATATGGGATGACTGTTCCTCAGTGGGAGACAAAATCAGTGATTTCACACCGGCAAGAGACTTGATGTCTCTGTAAATCAGAGGCAGAGTTTCACACTAATCTGCTTGCTCATGGTGATGTGACATTGATCTCTGTCTTCCTTCTTATCTCCCAGTCTAACTCCTTTATTTTTTGCTCCTAACTGAACATTTTAACATTTGAAAAAGCTAATGTTTATGGTAATCATGATTCCCCCATTGCTTTGAAGCCTTATAATGTTTGCATTCATTAGTTGGAATGGTTTTATCCTAGTTTGTTTATCTTATTATCTGTGATGGTATGAACAGCTATTTTGAAGAAAACAAGATATTACAATAGCCAGTTCTGATTTAATATCATTTTACTCTGAAGTCCTATCATGCTTTTGTTCTTCTGTTTCCATTGGTTCTATCATATTGTATCTTGTATCATATCAAGATATTCTACATGAGGAAATTTGCCAGCATAAAAAGGTGGAGAAGGAGAAGGGGGTTGTTAAGGCATTAGTGCATTGTTGCATTGAGGCATTGTGGGTTCTCCTATGAGTTGCTGTTTTAACCATTCTACCTCCTAGAGCAGCTATAGTTCTCACATCCAGCATTGTTTCCTGTCTCTGGAGGGGAAGACATGTGCTGCTTGGTCTCCAGGATGAACTCATTATGCTGGCTTCCTGGAATGTACACAACTGTGCTTGTCATTGCAGAATATTGGGGCCTCCATTTAACTAAGGATGGCTGGGGTGCCTTTCAGGACGGCCCTGGTCTTTGTTGTGAGTGTGACTTCTCAGCTCCAGCATAGAACCCTCATCCTACCAACACAGCTCCTTCATCCCGCTGGCATGGACTTTCTGGTTTCCACCACCACCCTTAGGGCCTTCCTGACATAGATCCATAAAAGAGACGGCCGTGAATCCCTCTTGTGGGCTCTGGACCTCCAGTTGGACTTGTGGGAGGTATTGTCATGAGCTCTGGCTTTTATCTGGACTCATGTGGACATTGCTGTGGGATTTAGGCCCTTGACTAAATATTCTATGTCTTTGGTGTTGCAGATAAATTTCCTGCATTTTCTTGTGTTAACTCCCAGTGACCATTATAAAAATAATAAACTCTATGTCCTGGAGTTCTCCATACAACCCCAAACTACAACATGGAATTAGACAGCTTCAAAACAAAAACAAAAACATAAAACTGCACTGGTTCACTACCCTATATTCCACAGTTGAGCTTCTTTCTTATTGAGCATTACACAGTTCATATAGAAGTAAAGCCTTATAGGTGTGATCAGTGTGCAAGTAATTTAGTATCAATCCAATCTCATTCAAAATTAGGGAATTCATACTTGAG